GCAGTCAGCTGGATGCAGTCAGTCAGGTTGCTGCAGTCAGTCAGTCAGGTTGCTGCAGTCAGTCAGGTTGCTGCAGTCAGTCAGTCAGGTTGCTGCAGTCAGTCAGGTTGCTGCAGTCAGTCATGTTGCTGCAGTCAGTCAGGTTGCCTACCGAATGGATCCCTGACGGTTTTCCCTCTGCAGACGTCGCTGGTTCAGGGCATCATGGTGTCCCACAGCGAGGAAGACCTGCTGCGAATCCGCGCGGCGTTCCTCAGGCTCAGCGGATCGTCTCTCTACTCCACTCTGCAGGTTGGACTCATGTTGCTGCATCACCTGCACTGCATCACCTGCAACCTTTATTGACCTGATTGTTCTCTGATTGTCCCTCAGAAACATTTTAAAGGGGAGCAGCTGCTGGCTCTGCAGGCCATCTGTCGGTCTGAAGATTAAACTGAACCGCCTCTCCAGGAACCTGTTTGTTCATGTTTCACATCTTCTTTTCATATTAATGACGTTTCTGACTTTCATCTGTAACTTATTAACTTTTACCACTTTGTGTAGCTGGAACACTTTGGTTCTTTGTTTTAATGTGTAACATGAAGGCAGAACTCATTAAAACTTAAACATGCAAACAAACAGAGGACTGGCAGCATGAGCTTCTTTTATTTACTCAAAACTGAGCAGAACCATAAGAACAAGCATTAATATGTGAGCATGTACCCTTAAACACAGGCTGACAGAAATACTCTCATCAATCAATTCAGAATGCTAAAAATCAAATCTTTAAATCCTTATTTTAACCGAAAGCCCCCTTAGAAGATAAAGAACAAATCATATCTGTGGTTCTACAGTACTTCTGACTTTTCAGGAAATTTGTTTTGATGAGGTTTGAGGTTCACAGGAAGAACAAGTAGAGCAGGAGAGGAGCTGCAGAAAGCAGCAAAGGAGATCTGAAGCCACAGCATCCACTCGGAGAGGGGCTGCTGGAGGTGCTGGTGGTGGGAGTTATGGTGGCTGAGCTGGATGATGACGAAGACATAGATGGGGTTGTTGGTGAGGAGGCAGATGGGGTTGTTGGTGAGGAGGCAGATGGGGTTGTTGGTGAGGAGGAGGATGGGGTTGTTGGTGAGGAGGCAGATGGGGTTGTTGGTGAGGAGGAGGATGGGGTTGTTGGTGAGGA